GAGTTGTTGTGAACTCTTCAGTGATGCCTTCCCCAGGATATTTGCAGATGTGCTTGGGAAAAATCATTTCATCCCCGACCTTTGCATGTCAGGTGCTGGGGTGCTGGGGTGCCGCCTTGCCTGTGCCCCGGCTCTCCGTTCCTGATGCGGCTCTCTCTCCCTCCGATCGCCATGGCGACCACGGGGTGCAGGCCAGGCGGCACCCCCAGGCCCCCAGGGCCGCCTTTGCCCTGCCAGCCAGCTCTTGCCTACTGCCTGGGTTTCTGATCACTGTTCTTCCATCCTTCCTCTTTCGCCTCCCATCATTGTGCCTATGTATGCAAATTAACCGCCATCTTTGTTGGCAGTTAATTTGCATATCGCCCTAATTAGCCAATGGGAAGCGTAGCAGAGGTACGGTTAATTACCCTTTTTGTCTTTTGTTAGATAGGATTACTATTACCGTTGTTGTTGTTGTTGTTGTCCTCCCGCGCCCCTGCTTCTAGAATCTTGACCAAGGACTCCAGAGGATGTGGCTGCTGGTCCCTGCGCTCCTGGCTGTGGGCCATTGCCTGGCCCTGGCCAACCAGGAGGATTCTGGCCCCATGGACCCCGGCCCCTCAGACGTCCCTCCCGGGCCGGCCCTGCCCTGCCACAAGCTCTCCGTGAGCAACATAGACTTTGCCTTCGACCTCTACCGACAGCTGGCCTCAGAGGCCCCCGGAGAGAACGTCCTCTTCTCCCCCGTGAGCATCTCCTGGGCCTTGGCCACGCTGTCCCTCGGAGCCCCTGCCGCCAGCAGGGCCCACCTCCTGGAGGGCCTGGGCTTCAACCTCACGCTGGTTTCCGAGGCCGAGATCCAGGAGGGCTTCCGGGACCTGCTGCGCAGGCTCCCCGTGCAGGGCCCCCAGCTCCTCCTGACGCTGGGCCAGCGCAGCTTCAGCGGCCTGGGCCCGGGGGCTGCCCAGGACCCGGCGGGGGCCCAGCACAGCATCCGGGAGTATGTAGAGAAGCAGACCCGGGGGCAGCTTGGCGCCTGGGTGGAGGAACTCAGCGATGCCACCGCGGAGGTCCTGGTGAGTCACCTGCTCCTCAGAGGTAAGAGGGGTCTATCCCAGGACGTTCTCTCCGGGGCCCCAATCACACCGCAGCCCCGCTCCCCACAGCCTCCAGAGCCCCCCTGCTGACTGAGATGTAGGAGCTCCAGGAATCCTTGATGCTTCTGCTTGCATACCCCCAGTGACGGGGAACTCATCACCCGTCGCATTTTAATACTACTGATGAGTTTTTTCAAAGAAGGATTTTTCCAACTTTAGTGTGCATAGCACTCCCTGGGGAACTCACTTACAATGCAGGTATCTTGCGCTTGTCCCCAGAAGATTCTGATTTAGGGGGCAGGTCAGTCAGGGACCCAAGACCCTGCATTTGAGGGCGGTCCCCGTCCTCCCCCCGCGGGGAGGCTGCTGCAGGAGGGCTGTGATCTCCACGTTAGTAACTGCAGGCAGCGCTGAGTCACGGACCATGAGCCCCTTCCTCTGGCAGGCCCAGGAGGCATGGATGAGAGCGGGGAGAGCCCCAGCGCTGGGAGAGCCTTTATTTTCCCAGGAGAGCAATGCGATCACGTGCCTCGCTCCTTAATCACACTCCTTCACTCAGCGATGAGTCCGGTCCTTCTCGTACTTGCACAGCGAGTGCTTTGTGGGTCTCCAGGGAATTCACACCCACCTCTCATTTGACCTTCTCACCGGGATGAAGCACAGAGGCTATGGTTCATGTTTCCTTTTCACACGTGAGGAGACAGATTTGTTTTAAAAGAAGAAGGGATTGGCCTGAGCCCCTAAGGCATGACTCAGCTACATGCCTGTGAATAGTTCTCGCCTGGTATATGTCAGCCTGTTTGCACACACACACAATCTGAATACTATCATGCCGGTCACTGTGCATGTTTGATTTTTACTGAATTTTCTTCACAGCCCAACAAGGCGATTTTATTATGTCCACTTGAGAGATGGGAAAACTGAGGCCCAGTGTTAGGTGACCTGCCTTAGGCCTGCCAGCCAGGCTGAGCCAAGCCCTCAGATCCACACACGTTTCAGAGCAGCTGGTGCCACATGATGGGTTTTGTCTCTTTAAACTTAACCACCTCTGGCCCCAGCTGGTGTGGCTCAGTGGATAGAGCGTCAGCCGGCAGACTGAAGGGGCCCGGGTTTGATTCCGGCCAAGGGCACATGCCCGGGTTGAGGGCTCGATCCCTAGTAGGGGGCGTGTAGGAGGCAGCCGATCAAGGATTCTCTCTCATCATTGATGGTTCTATCTCTCTCTTCCTCCCTCTTTCTCTCTGAAATCAATAAAAATATATTTTAAAACCATTTTTTTAATTAACCACCCAAAGAGAGTAAGGAGACCGGAGAGCAAAGCAGCCCTCACTGTCTGGCACTGCTCTGTCGCTGTGACAGCACTTACCCCATTTCCCAAACAGGAGACGCAAGCGCAGGGCAGGCAAGGGCTCAGCCCCCGGGCTGCACAGGGAACGAGGGACAGGCCAAGAGGCAGTCACGGGGCTGGGCTTGGCGTCCACTGTGGACTCCCCACCCTGTGGCTGCCCGATGGGTGGCCCGGAGCCCATTCTCCATTCTCTCCACGGCAACCTCGCTGTCCTCGTCCCCTCAGCCGGGTGGGCGCGACCCTTTGACCCGAGAGCCACCAGCCTGAAGAAGTTCTTTGTGGACGAGCACAGGGCCGTGCAGGTTCCCATGATGAGGCAGAAGGCTCGCCACCGCCTCCTGCACGACCCCGAGCTGCAGTGCACGGTGCTGCAGATGGAGCACGCCGCCAGCGCCACCACCTTCTTCGTCTTCCCCCAGCGGGGTCGGCTGGGGCAGCTGGAGGACTCCCTGCTGCCCGAGACGCTGATCAAGTGGGACAGTCAGCTCAGGACCAGGTAGCGCGCACAGCAGGGCCTGGGATGCGGCTCCTGCCTCCCCTCAGTGATGGTCCCCTCAGGGCACTGTCCCCCAGGGCACTGTCCCCCAGGGCACTGTCCCCCTAGGACAGTGGTCGGCAAACTGCGGCTCACGAGCCACAAGCGGCTCTTTGGCCCCTTGCAGGGCACTGTCCCCCAGGGCAATGTCCCCCCAGGGCCCTGTCCTTGGCCTCCCTGCAGGTGTCAGGATGGGGCCTGGTCAATTGTACTGGGCCAGGTGTCTGGAGGCTGGTTCTAGTCCCAGCTCTGGTGCCAACCTGAGTGACCCCATGATGCACAGAGTTCCAGCCCTTAAGCAGTGGGGGCAGGAAAGAGGGCCCAGGACAGATATTGAATGGAGGATGGAAGGCCCTGGACAGACGTTGAATGGAGGACAGTGGATCCTGGACAGATGTTGAATGGAGGATGGAGGGCCCTGGACAGATGTTGAATGGAGGATGGCGGGCCCTGGACAGATGTTGAATGGAGAGGAGAGATTGGAGGGGCAGGGAGACCAGAGGTGTGAATGGGGGTGAGAAGCTGCAGCCCTGGAGCTGCTTTGGGGCCGAGGCTGGAGCCTGCGGAGTCACCTGGGACACACGCAGCCGCTTTTGGGGTCTCAACAGCAAACCCATCTGTCTCCCCGCAGAGAACTCGATTTCTACTTCCCTAAGTTCTCCATCTCCAGCACCGCCAGACTGGAGCTGCTCCTCCCAGGAGCGGCTGTGGGCGGAGGCCTCCCCGAGCAGCCCGGACTGAACATCTCGAAGGTAACCTGGGATCTGGGTCAGCGGTGGGGTGTCCGTGCCTGCGGGCCGCTGCGGGAGGAAGGCGCCCGCATCTCCTCACACGCGGAGCGGCTGTTTGCCAGAACTCGGCACATCACCATCTGTGCTCCGCATGTGTCCCCCACTCGTGCACGCCTGCCCCCACAGGCACCGGGGGCCAGAGGTCAGGCCCCATCCCTGCCCTCGGGTGACAGCCCAGACAGGGAAGGCTGGGTGGGTCCACACCATCAGGGCTGGACTTCGGAGGAGGCTCTGGGGCTCCTTCCTGATCGTGGGCCCGTGGGACTGAGAGCCCGGCCGGCGTGGCTCAGGGGCTGAGCGTCGACCTATGAGCCAGGAGGACCTGGTTCAATTCCTGGTCAGGGCACATGCCCAGGTTGCGGGCTAGATCTCCAGTTGGGGTGTGCAGGAGGCAGCCCAGTGATTCTCTCTCGTCATTGATGTTTCTATCTCTCTCCGTCTCCCTTCCTCTCTGATATCAATAATAACATATTTAAAAAAATAAAAATAAAGGTGTGGTTGATCCCTCCTATGGGGTCAGTTGGCGATTCCGGAATTTTCCTTGCAGGTTGCACACAAGGCTGCGATGACTCTGGATGAGGGGGGCACAGAGGCGGCCGCCGCCACCAGCATCCAGCTCACGCCGGGGCCCCGCCCCGACCTCGACCTCGACACCTCGCCCGCTCCAGACACGGAGTTCAACCGGCCCTTCCTGGTGATGACCTTCCACACAGACACGGGGAGCATGCTTCTCCTGGGGAGGGTTGTCAACCCGCTGGGGTGATGCGCTGGGTGACCCCGAGCAGAGCGGGGCCGAGTCAGCATCGGTGTGAAAGGCCACGGCCAGCGTGGCCTTCGGGTTCAAAGGCTTGGAGAAAGAGCTGACGCACGAATTAACACACAAGACAAGAAATAATAATTTTGAAATTATGGGGGGAAGCCAGGGAAAACTCAACTGTAGTAGTCAAGTTCCACTGACTAGAAAACACAATTGCCTTTTAGGAATGCAAACAGACATATCCATGGTGATTGTTTAGTAAACAGTAAGATTGTCAGGTTGGGGGGGTTTGTAATAAAATGCAAATATTCACCCTGTGAATATCAAGAGTCCAGGTCAGCTTTCTGATGGACTTCTCATCGCATTTATATTAATTCCTGTTGATCTTGGTTTCCAGCACATCAGGTCTCGGGGCCC